TTCTTCTTCTTCTTCTTCTTCTTCTTCTTCTTCTTCTTCTTCTTCTTCTTCTTCTTCTTCTTCTTCTTCTTCTTCTTTCTCCTCCTCCTCCTCCTCCTCCTGCTGGGCATGGCCAACTCGGGAGCCAGCCGGAACTCCGTTCCTGTGCGTTCCTGCCCCAAAATAGCCCTGCTCCCAGTACTCTGTCGAGATTTTGCATTGGAGAGGAAGGCCAGCCGTGGGGCCGTTCGGAGCCTCTGAGGGGACCTTTGGCACCAGTGCTGGTCTTCTCGCTGAGGGACTTAATTCTCACCTCTGCCCCACACCCAAAGAGCTGCCAATCAGCAACTGATTTGTGAACATCATAGCCAGCAATAGGAAAAGAATGTGAAATATTTATCTTAGCAGGCCAAAAGAAGGGAAATGGAACCCTGAGAAACTTCAGGGATACTTGGACTGCCCATGTGGGGCAGCCTGGTGCTGCTACTCCATTTTAATTTTTTTTTTTTTAATCATCACCAGTCAGGTCGGCTGAAAAAGCAGGAGGACAGCGGGGAAAACGCTAGAATGCAGCAGGCTGCCAATGACGTTACGCCAGTCTTCTGTTAAAACCGAACAAACCAACCGTGGCAATTCCAGCTTAAACGGTTAGTTGGAAGCAACCTACCATTTTAGAACAGGAATAAAACTTGGCAATTTAAAGAAACTTTAGGTGTGCGGGAAAAGATACCAAGTTCTTGAGGCTTCATTTGCTAGGCATCACTTTGCCAGCTGTAGCTCCGCCATGTAGGAAGAAAGACAGCAGTGCAAATAAAGTGTTTGGAGAATTTTAAGTCCCGGTGGCCTTTCTAGACAATCAGCGTTTTTTCCATCTCTGCTCTCCCCGGTATGTGGGCCTGAAATCCGGCGGCTTGTTTCTGTCTGCGGCAAATCCGCATCACACTCCGGCAACTCACAATCTTCTGGGCCATTTCAGGCCAAGAAGCCGCTCTCCAAAAGGCAGACGTGAGATTTTCCAGCATTCTTCAGAGATCTAAGGACAGGACTTTCGTTTTCTGCCGTGCTCTTTCTAAACACTCTTTGGGCTGATACAGTTGCTTAAGAAATATTTTCTGGAGCCGTGTGCCACGGGAGGGCCTCTGCTAGCGTGAGGTGGGCACGACTGCTTTGCCAGAAGCCAGAACTGCGAGTTTTGCATGTGGCAATGACCATTTCACCTTTGAGAATTCTGCGGTCATCACCAATCCTCCCTCTTGGCTGTGGAGTCTTGTGAGCAAAAATTCCACTTTGTGAGCTACTGGCATTAAAGTTGTGAGCAAGCGATTGGGCTGCTGCATCAATTAGTTTGCTCTTGAGCCCTCCTTCCTGAGCCGAGACAAAAAGGTGTGTGAGCCGGAGGCTAAAAACCTGTGAGCTGGCTCACACTAACTCGGCTTAGACGGAACACTGGACATCACTGTCCTTTTCAGACCTTACCTGTAAGCACAGTAAAAGGTAAAGGTAAAGGTGTCCCTTACTCGAAAGCCAGTCGAGTCCGACTCTAGGGTTGCGGTGCTCATCTCCGTTTCAAAGCCGAAGAGCCAGCGCTGTCCGAAGACATTTTCCGTGGTCATGTGGCCGGCATGACTAAACACCGAGGCGCACAGAATGCTGTTACCTTCCCACCGAAGTGGTACCTATTTATCAACTTGCAATTTCTTGCTTTCGAACTGCTAGGTTAGCAGGAGCTGGAACTAGAGACGGGAGCTCACTCCGTCATGCAGCAACTCGGGTCTTGAACTGCTGAACTACTGACCTTCCACAGCCTGCAGTTCAGCGTCTTAACCACTTGAGCCACCGCAGCTCCGTAAGCACAGTGGGAACCCAGAAATGACTGCATGCATCAGGAGCGCCTGATATCGATGTTCCCAATATGTGCAGTCCCTAGGTTGTCCAAGCAAGGGCAATGCACACCTTTTGCATATGTGGCATGCAAAAAAAACGGAACCTGGAAAAATTCAGTGGTCATTTTGCAGGTACTGAAGCTGCAGAATACCTGCTTGGCACCTGATCAGATTACACAGCCAGTGGGAAGATGGAAGTTTTGGAAAGGATTCCGGTGCACCTGAGAACTGGGAAAGAGCTCTGTTTTACCAGCGAGGCTGGGCTTATGGGTGGCAGATCTGGAGGGTACATTCAATGACTGAGAAACCCCAAGGAAACTCTGTGTATAGCTGCCTCACACTGAATGAGACCATTAGTTCACCGAGGGCAGCTGCTCTCCAGGGTCTCAGGCAGAGAGAAATCTTTCCCTTCGCCTCCTGCCTGGTCCTTTGAACAGGAGATGCCGGGGACTGAACCTGGGACCTTCTGCATGCCAAGCAGATGCTCTGCCACTGAGCCACAGCCCCTCTTTACAGCTCTCCGGGGTCTCAGGTACAGAGGACTTTCCCATCACCTACTGCCTGGTCCTTTCAACTGGAGATGCCGGGGATTGAACCTGGGACCTTCTGCATGCCAAGCAGATGCTCTGCCACTGAGCCACAGTCCCTCTTTACAGCTCTCCAGAGTCTCAGGCAGAGGTCTTTCCCATCGCCTCCTGCCTGGTCCTTTTAACAGGAGGTGCCGGGGATTGAACCTGGGACCTTCTGCATGCCAAGTAGAGGCTCTTACCATTCAGCCTCCCCAAGCTGGTTGCTGCTGGTGCCTGAAACAGAGCAAGCAAGACAGTCCAGTTCTGTGGGCCAGGCTCCTGGTCTTTCTACAGGACCTCCTGGCCAATCCAAAGGCTTCATCCTGCCTACAAATCACAGGGGCTGATGCTGTGTACACCGCTAGAGCTCGCTGTGCACATGCGGTAACTCTCCAGGTTAGCTTCAAGAAGCAAGTCCAGAAAGAGTAGGCAGGGTGGAGAAGGAGAAAATAACTCAAGGAGACTCAACAAGGATGTACGCCATTAGGGACCTGCTGGATTGAATGCAATTCCGCAGGGCCCGTAAGGCAGAGGTTCCGCTGGGCTTTTGACCGGGGACAGCGACGGTGTGACCATCGCTGGCACCCTCCCTCTTCCGCCGCGTTTCACTTGTTTCCCTCCTCCTGCCCTGCCCGTGGAGCAGGTGCACACACACTGAACTGCATGCTGTGGAAGGTCGGTAGTTCAGCAGTTCGAGACCCGGGTGTCGCAAGACGGAGTGAGCTCCCGTCTCTAGTTCCAGCTTCTGCCAACCTAGCAGTTCGAAAGCAAGAAATTGCAAGTAGATAAATAGGTACCACTTCGGTGGGAAGGTAACAGCGTTCCGTGCGCCTTGGTGTTTAGTCATGCCGGCCACATGACCACGGAAGTGTCTTCGGACAGCGCTGGCTCTTCGGCTTTGAAACGGAGATGAGCACCGCAACCCTAGAGTCAGATTTGACGGGCTTTCGAGCAAGGGAACCTTTACCTTTATCTTGGGTTTTAGGTTTTTTAATGACATGTTTAACTGTACATTTGGAACCCTGTATGGTTTTACCTAATGTTTTATCCAGGGGTCATTTCCTACGGAAGCGCACAGGAGCGGAGCTCCGGCAGTAAAGAGCCCAGGGGGCGGGCACATGCAACAAGCCCCACCCTCTGCTCCCAGCAGCCCTCAGTCAGAGCAAGAAGCAGCCAGGTAAGTTGCAGAGCCCCCCCCCCAGCCCCCCAATCCAAAACAGTCCAGTGGCACCTTCAAGACCAAGTTTCATTCAGGTCCTCCTCTGTGAGGACAGATCTGCATGTTCCCCCCTCCCCATAGCTAGCAATCCAAAACAGTCTAGTGGAGCCTGAGCAGTGGGTGTTGCCTTCTGACACACTTCCGGTGATGTCAGGGTGTGTGGCATATGCAAATAAGCTATGCTAATAAGTTATGCTAATGAGCTCCTGGACCTCTTTTTCTACGAAATGACCCCTGGTTTTATCCTTGATGTCTATGGCCCAGTGCCCTGTTTTTACAGGGATGGGGCGATTCATATACCGAATAAATAATAATAATATCTTACCCAGGTTAGGATCGTATTCACTTATAAACCTCTTGGTCAGAAATTTCACCGTCAGAGCTGCAAGAAACAACAGAGAAGAGCTATTTAGTACGCACAGTTTGATTGTCAAAGTGGAAAGTTGGATCCAGATTCAATTTTCCAACCGGCCTTCTGTCGGTGGAACGGAACTTTCCTGCTCCCCCTCCAAAGAGCAAATGGGGGGCGGGGGAGAAGTCCAAAGTTGCTACACAGAGGCAGGCCAGGGAAAACCGCCTCTTGCCTCGAAAACCCCACGAGGTTGCCAGAAGTCGGCTGTGACTTGATGGTACATCTGTCACCACAGCTGGAACAGGGAATTGGCAGAAATGACAGACATTTTGTCTGCCTCCAACCCACCCCTTGCAGCTTTGCATGTGCAGAACGAATTCTCCAACGGGGAGCCGATCAGGAAAAGGTTCCGGTGGACCTCAGGCACGTTGCTCATGTCACACAAGGCCTGCACATGTGACTACATCGTTCCGAAACATGTGGCAAACCTGGGCTTTTTTTCCCTGGGGAAACGAGCCAGAATGGAGTTCCGGAACCTCTTCGACAAAATTCTTTTAAAAATATTTAAACGTTCATGAGTTTTCAGTATACAGATTGAAAACTTCACTTCCCTCTTAAGCGTTCTGGCATCTCTTTTTGGGGAGAGAGAGAAAAGCCCTGGGAAAACCCCTTCCTACCAATTGGAAGGATGAGTCGGGAAACTACACCCCCAGGAGAGAGACTCTGCGTAAGCTAACTGGATCAGTTCCGTGTGACTTTGTCCTCGACAAAAGTCTCGGTCTCTTTCTTTTGTTACATAATGGGACATTTGTTGTTATAGATTTTCTGGGCTGTGTGGCCGTGGGTCTTGGCATTGTAGGACCTGACGTTTCGCCAGCAGTTGTGACTGGCATCCTCAGAGGTATAACACAGAAAGATGGAGTACTCTCTGCGTCAAGGTGAGAAGAAAAATGGTAGGCAGGTAATTTATATCTACTCAGGAAGGTGGGGTAGGGCTGAGTCATTATCCTGTAGGAGTTCCCCAGGCTGTGAGGAGGTTCTTTTGCATATGGATTGGCTGTTGGAAGTCTAATCTTATCTGTAGTGCTCTTGTATGATGGAGAGCATTTTGTGTTTTTCAGGACTGAAACCATGCCCTATTTATTTTTAAACTCTCTTCTTTCCTGTTGAAAATGTGTTTATGAATTTCAAGTGGCTTCCCTGTGTAATCTGACATGGTGATTACACTTGATTTTAGCCAAAAGGCCGAGAAGATATTTTGTTTAATCTGTTCTGTGGTTTTAAGAATGCATAGGCCACTCAGTAATTTTAAATACTGTGTATTTCCTAAAACTTATCAGATTCATGGACATTGTTGTAACTGATCCTGCAAAAAAAAAAATGGAATTGCAAAAGACAATGCAGTCGGAGCAGGATAGTTAACACAAAGCCCTCTGGGGAAGCTAGATCTTCCCCAACATCTTGGGGGGCATGTTTGCTGCCCCTGCAGGACTGCGAGTCAGGCTGGGGTTACGGATTGGGAGATTCATGACTGAACTTCTGTCATTTTCTCCAAGGTTCAACACTTTCCAACTGAAGACCAAACGTGTACGTAACACAATTACATACATATAAGCAGTGTTCCCTCTAAGCTGAGTTAGTGTGAGCCAGCTCACAGTTTTTTAGCCTCCAGCTCACACATTTTTGTCTTAGCTCAGGAAGGAGGGCTCCAGAGCAAAGTAATTTATGCACTCGCCAAATTGCTGGCTCACAACTTTAATGCCAGTAGCTCATAAAGTAGAATTTTTGCTCACAAAACTCCACACCTTAGAGGGAACATTGCATATAAGGTAATTCTAGTTTGAAAAAAAATCATTTGTTGAAATTAATAAGGATTTGGTATACATTTGAAATAATAATTTGAGTTTCTTTTCCCCTCCCCCCCCCTCTATTTTTATAATTTCAGGATACAACTTCTGGTCTTTATATAAGTGTACTAAAGAACTTGTATACTATACTGTGAGGCTGAAACGCGTTTGGTCTTCAGTTGGAAAGTGTTGACCCATCATGTGTATTAATATTTGATATGATGCTATTAGTCTGATACTTGAAAAAAAAATTAACCCAAATATATTTTAATATGTGTACACCCTAATAAATTTTGGACTTTTATCATTTCTATGGTCAGCTTAACCCTTCTGGTTCGCAGTGTTATCTTGGGTTGAGTTTTCCCCTCCCCCCCGCTTTTCCCCAGATTTTCTCCAAGGGAGATCAGTTGCAGTTCTGGGAGAACTCCAGGCTGTGGCTGTAAATTGGTAGCCAATAGGTGCTTATGTGAGACCTATTTTGCTAGGATGGCAGGAGTGGACCAGGCCAAGTAACACCAGAGCTGGGGCAGCTCACGGGAGGGTTGTAGGTGCAGATATGGGGGGGGGGGGATGCAATGCCAGCTGCGGTTCTATGTCAGATCCAGTAAAAAAGAAAGAAAAAGGAACTGACATAGGTAGCTCTAGGCATTGCCCGAAACTCCATGGTAAAACCAGAGAGATTCCAGAGATTCCTAGAGCAACAAATGTCACTTTCGATTTTTTTTTTTTACTGGAAGCGATGTGGAACTGTGTACGATGCTGCAGGGGTTTTATTTACATTTTTCTCCTGCTGCCACTCAGAACAGTGGCGGGTGACAGGAATGGCGGGAACGGGATCCCTGAGTCACGATCTTCAGAGCAGCAACGTAAGAGTCGGGCCCGTCATCTCCTCCCACTTCCTCTAACCTGATTTTCCAGACCCTCGACATCCTAAGATGGCCACGTTGCATTCTGGGAGCAGGCTGTGGAGGTGGCGCTCGGTAGCGCAGGGGGTGGTTCGAGGCTTGCCGAACATGGAAGACATCCTCTGTAACCAAAGAGGAAAAGATTAATGAATTGTAATGAACTCGTGGCATCTATTTGCAGCCAAGCCTGTAGCCGCTGTGGGGCATTTGGGAGCAGAGATCCACCACCCACGAGCCCTGGTGGCACCACCCACGACCTCCTGGTGGCACCTGGTATTTCTGGCCCCTGTGTGACAGAGTGTTGGACTGGATGGGCCACTGGCCTGATCCAACGTTGGCTTCTCTTATGTTCTTATAGGAACTCTCTGTCTGAGGCAAGGGATGCCCTGTATTCTTGGTGCTTGGGGGGTGGGGGGGCAACAGTACGAGGGCTTCTGGAGTCCTGGCCCCACTGCTGGACCTCCTGATGGCACCTGGTATTTCTGGCCCCTGTGTGACAGAGTGTTGGACTGGATGGGCCACTGGCCTGATCCAACGTTGGCTTCTCTTATGTTCTTATAGGAACTCTCTGTCTGAGGCAAGGGATGCCCTGTATTCTTGGTGCTTGGGGGGTGGGGGGGCAACAGTACGAGGGCTTCTGGAGTCCTGGCCCCACTGCTGGACCTCCTGATGGCACCTGGTATTTCTGGCCCCTGTGTGACAGAGTGTTGGACTGGATGGGCCACTGGCCTGATCCAACGTTGGCTTCTCTTATGTTCTTATAGGAACTCTCTGTCTGAGGCAAGGGATGCCCTGTATTCTTGGTGCTTGGGGGGTGGGGGGGCAACAGTACGAGGGCTTCTGGAGTCCTGGCCCCACTGCTGGACCTCCTGATGGCACCTGGTATTTCTGGCCCCTGTGTGACAGAGTGTTGGACTGGATGGGCCACTGGCCTGATCCAACGTTGGCTTCTCTTATGTTCTTATAGGAACTCTCTGTCTGAGGCAAGGGATGCCCTGTATTCTTGGTGCTTGGGGGGTGGGGGGGCAACAGTACGAGGGCTTCTGGAGTCCTGGCCCCACTGCTGGACCTCCTGATGGCACCTGGTATTTCTGGCCCCTGTGTGACAGAGTGTTGGACTGGATGGGCCACTGGCCTGATCCAACGTTGGCTTCTCTTATGTTCTTATAGGAACTCTCTGTCTGAGGCAAGGGATGCCCTGTATTCTTGGTGCTTGGGGGGTGGGGGGGCAACAGTACGAGGGCTTCTGGAGTCCTGGCCCCACTGCTGGACCTCCTGATGGCACCTGGTATTTCTGGCCCCTGTGTGACAGAGTGTTGGACTGGATGGGCCACTGGCCTGATCCAACGTTGGCTTCTCTTATGTTCTTATAGGAACTCTCTGTCTGAGGCAAGGGATGCCCTGTATTCTTGGTGCTTGGGGGGTGGGGGGGCAACAGTACGAGGGCTTCTGGAGTCCTGGCCCCACTGCTGGACCTCCTGATGGCACCTGGTATTTCTGGCCCCTGTGTGACAGAGTGTTGGACTTTAGGGGCCATTGACCTGATCCAGCATTGGCTTCTCTTATGTTCTTATCAGCCTTATGACGCCAGACACCACCACCACCACCCACCCCGTGTGCCTAGCCCCACAGCGGCAGCGAGGCTGGGGAAACAGAGGGAAGCTGCCCTACAGCTCCTGTTCAGTTTCATTCCCTGCAGATCAAGGGTTAGTTTTAACAGCTGATTGGATCAGAGTGAAACTGACCAGAAGGGGGAGGGGGTGTTGGGGAAGGAGGGGGGGGCATGGTGATGGTGGTAAAAAATTGTGAGCTAGCTCACACTAACTCAGTTTAGAGGGAACCCTGCTCAGGAGCTCTCCTTCCTGAGCAAAGACAAAAATGTGGGAGCCGGAGGTTAAAACACTGTGAGCTGGCTCACACTAACTCAGCTTAGAGGGAACACTGATGATAAGCATTCATGGTACCCTAATTGCCAATTGTCTTCACAACCTTTGATGGATATCGAGTCCTAAGTAAATAGATGTAAAAAATTTTTTAAAAATAGACTTGCTTTCATAGGCTTGACTCATTTTAATTTACTTGTTTGCACGGCTTTACTGTTCTGTTTGGGAGCTGCTTCCAGCTAGGTCTTTGGATGATGCGGCAGAGAAATAGTCCGAATAAATAAGATTACCCATATAACCAGGGCTCTTTTTGTAGAAAAAGCCCAGCAGGAACTCATTAGCATAATAATCCACACCCAACAGCGGGAACTCATTAGCATATTGGGCCACACCCCTGACAGTACAGCTTATTAGCACATTAGGCCACACCCCCATGTTACCAGAAGTGTGGTCATCCAGCCACACCCACCTTTTGCTTGTTATTCTGTTGACCTTGTTTGTTGTCAAAACCCAGGGCCTTTTTTTGTAACAGGGACTCCTTTGCATGTTAGGCCACACACCCCTAATGTGGCCAATCCTAATGAGTTTCTGCTGCTGGGCGTGGCCTATTATGCTAATGAGTTCCTGCTGGGCGTGGCCAACTTGGGAGCCAGCCGGAACTCCGTTCCTGTGCGTTCCTACCCAAAAATAGCCCTGCATATAACACCCCCCCCTCCTGATCTCATGAACTTATGTGAGCCTATTTGAAAGGCCCTGGTGTGGACACTGAGTGGCTGATGCGCAGGAGACAGGAGAGCTGATGTAGCGTAAGAAAGAAGAGTTCCAGTTTACACCACGAGCGCTCATCCGACGTGCCCCACAGGCTCAGCAGGGCTCTGTACTCTTCAGTCTGAGGACATCCTTGGACGACGTTTCTCTCTTGCTCCACTTCCTTAAAAACTTGGTTTGGTGTAGTGGCTAGGAGTGCCGACTCTAACCTGGGAGAACCGGGTTTGATTCCCCACTCCTCCACATGCAGCTGCTGGTATCACCTTGGGTTAGTCACAAGTTCTCTCAGAGCTGTTCTCTCAGGAGCACTCTCTCAGCCCCGCCTACCTCACAGGGTGTCTGTTGTGGGGAGGGGAAGGCAAAGGCATTGCTGAGCGGCTCGAGAACTCCTCG